CATTACCTTGCTGTTATGGCTTAACATTATAAAATTATTAGTTCCGCTGAAAAGATAATCACTCAGATACATACCTACTTTAGAGTGTAGGTTATAACCCGTGATGCGATCATTTGCTGAATCACATGAGATCTCACTCACATGTAGTGCTGAAAATTGTCTTCATCATGGAGAAGGCAAACAACTTGTGCCACTGGTACTTGTTTATAGTCAGATTAATTATAAAAAAACGAAGTCTGTGCTTTAGATAAGTGTGCAGCTTGCATTTAGTGATCAGATAGTATTCTAGATGTATTTTATACAATTTAATAGAAAACTATATTGAAAGCAGGATATTAGAATGATACATCTGTTTGATCATCTAGCCTTGATGAAAGCATGGGATGCTTCACTTTTGAATTAAAAAGTGATGAAACATCATGAAACATATGAAACAACATTGATTTTTTTGTTTTCCTAGGTTTGCACAATAGAAGTGAACCCAGCTGAAGATTTTGTAGCTGCTCCTCCATCCAATGACACTAAGTCTTCAAGACGAGTATTAACCCTACCAGTGCAATTCAGATACGATTATGAGGAAGATGGCCAACTTAATGTATGTATCTCTTGTACTGTAGTCTCCTTGTTTCTTCATGTCACTGCAAACATAATACCATGATAGAAATGTAAAACATAAAATTCTATTGTATGCTGTATCTTAATTTGACTATGATGTAATTGTGTTTTCACAATTATCACACATAATACTGTAAGATGATATCATATTATCAATTTGCAAAATGCTTTCTCACGATGGTCTTAACTATTTTTATCTCTTTAACTACATACATATTCTTTGTGTATATCTGGCATTTCTCTATTGACAAGTCTCTCTATTGAGTGCCCCTGTATATCCAAATTACAGCGAACATACAAACAGTAGTGTTTTATATGTGACATTTTATGCCAAACAGCCATTAACCAAACACCCAAAATTGGTATTCCCTTATTTAGAAATTAAGTCATTAATTATGAAGTGTTCCACAAACTCGTGTGTATGTGTCATTCACAGTACCGGTACGCTTTCAGCATGTATACAAGTATACTAGCTAGGTCACAAGTGATAGTTATGTATATTGATGAGGTTTTTATGTGAAAAATCTGTAATTCTTGGTTTCTCAACTTCACAAATTATGATGCATGTATCACAGAATTTTCATGTAATATTATATGATCAATCATAACCCGGTCCCTTATCTGGCCAAGTCCATGTAAAAGTACATTGCGCTGGAAGGAATGATCAGCACAAAATGCATCAGTCAGTAGCAGAGTTGTTTCTATACTTCAGTTACTGTTACTCGTCACATGTACGCCATCTAGAAGTTTCTAGTAGGATAGGCATCAGCATTGCTTTCGCAAAGTCTTGTGTGCATGCCAGCCAACATTCAGTCTTGTGGCATGGATTCAAAAATAAATTGTCTAAGGATTCTGATGACTGTAACATTGTTTATGTTAGACTTTAGTTGAAAGTCCTTTCAATGTTTGTCCTGCATTTATCAAGCTGGTCACATCGTCAGTGAAGCCAAGAAAAGAAATCAAATTTAGAAAATTTGGCCGAGTAGGTACGCTATAGACAGGCAGTATAGAAGAAATGTTTCCACTTACAAAAATATTTTGACATTCCCAACATGTGTGTTTTGAGTGAAATGCCTTCATGTGTACTGGGAATAAAGATGACACACTGCGATGAACAAAAACTGATTAGTTTTGACATCTGAGAAAGCCAGGCAAATCAATACTTGGCATGTCAGTCACAGGAGATTGTCATAATAGGTGTAATAAACGTGTCCTTTTTTTCATCATAACCTGCTGTTGTCTCATACATTTGTACTATCACTTGTTATGGATAGAGATTTTTCTTTAGATCAAACGGTGTTAATCTGAATAATAAATCAAATTTTGTTTTGTTTTTAGATGAAATTATTTGGTCATCCCAGTATGATTTACATGGGTAACAAAGTACAAGGTGAAGTTCTCTTTAGTGCAATTGAAAGATTGATGCCATATCAAACGCCTTACAAAGTTGTACTCACTGATGGACAGGTATGCTACTGTGTATTGTGCCAGGGTTCATAGTATTGGGAAAATTCTTTGAAAGTCTTTGAGTTGTCTTTAAATTACAGGAAAAATTATTTGGAAATTAATTGGCGCTTGGTGCTATGAACCCTGTGTGCAAACTGTTGTGATATCCTACTGATATAGTCTTTCATATCTTTGAGTTAGCCTAGAATCAATGTGCTTTCAAAGGTTCAAAGAGACTTCTGAAATAATTTCAGTAACTCCTGGAAAAAACAATAATCAAATGAATAACAAGCTTTAATCAAACATCCATACTTGCATTGTCAGAGTGTCACAGAAACGTGCATGGATTGTAGGATAAATTTGGATGTTTTCGGATCAAAACTGAAAATTAAACAATTTACTTTGTGTATCTTTAGGGTTACCACTGTTCACGCTGTATGTATAACCTGCATTGCAATGGTTGTGAATTGGTACGCGAGGTTGAAATCACGTTACAGTCTGATGATCATCTTACAGTGGTCTGTGCAGATGTCTCTACGACCATCTTACAATATAGCCAGCAGGTGACCGACCATGAATCGATGAAGGACTTAAGGAGCACTGAACCCCTAACTTTACAAGAATGCTTTTATGCTTTTACAGAAAGGTAAATGAGTTAATTATTTGCTAGTGTATATATGTTATATTTTTAGCTCCGCTATCGTCTCAACTTTTTACAATTTCGACTTCTTCTTGAAAACTACAATTCTACAATTCTTAGTGCTTTGTATTTGTACCTTGGGCAGACCTCTCTCAGATTTTTTTCATTTCGGGATATCTTCAATTCTCTAATTTTGATGAATATTTGTTGGTAAAAAGTGATATTTTCTAATTCTTGTTACAATCCACAAGTCTGATTGCTTTGATCTTATACATGTGGGTAGCACAGATCTGTTCATTTTCTAATTGTATCTTCAGTTCTTGCTTTGAAACGTGCATCGCTAACAGTGGAGCTATCTCAACCAAGAGGCTACTTGTTCAATATTCCTGTACATCTTTTTTTTTTGTAACATCTGTGTTTGTTTCTATTTAGTGAAATATTAGATGAGCATAATCCCTGGTACTGTCCGAAATGTGAACGGAACCAATGTGCTAGAAAGACCCTGACAGTATGGAGATACCCTGATACACTAGTTGTCTACTTGAAAAGGTTGGTTACACAAACAATTTGAATCATACCTTTCTTATACCATGACTGCTATCTTTTCTGCTGAGTAGATTATATTTCTAATGTTCTTTACTCTTGTCACTTACACTTATAGTTATTTAACAATTCAATTGACACAGCAACACATGTATTTACATTCATTGGAAAGGTTAGAAACAACCACCAAAGGTATTAGTCTTAAAGAAATTGTCTTTTATAGACAGGTGGTCTTTTCGTGGAAGTAGATTAAATAATTCATGATTAAAAACTGTTTGGATATGAGGAATAAATAAAAGTATGCTTATTTGTTTTGATTTGATTGAAATGTCAACAACAACAACAAAAAGGTAAAACATGAATATATAATCATTGCCCATCATTTACAGTCACTGGTCATAATTGGCATTCATATACATGTCTATTCACATGTCTATTTACATGCCTATTTACATGTCAATTACTTTACATGTAGGATAATAGAACTGAAAATTCAATACATATTTGTAATTTTTTGCAGGTTTGTATTTCATGAATTGTGCAGTACCAAACTGGACAATAAAGTACTCTTCCCTGTAGAAAACTTGGATGTCTCTTCTTATACATCTGGACCAACCAATGGTCAGTCTTTGACCTATGACCTTCAGAGTGCTGTTTGTCATTTTGGAGGTGAGTACATTGAAAAGACAAAGTCAGTTGATAGCCAGCTTTGGCGTTATGTTAGATTTGTGGTTTCAGAAATCATGATTACCTCGACTGTGTATGTTTCTGTGATAGTTATTCACATATCATATTATGCCATATAATAATACTAGACATTAATGCAAGTTTTGTATCAATGAAGTGGAAATGTTACCTACGAGTACCCTATCTTGAATACTGTCTTGTGCATTAATGATTAAACAACCACTCCTGGTGTGTAGAAAAAGAGATATGGTGATCTGATTTCAGTATGCAAATGACACTTGGCGGTAATGCGATTTTCAAGAATATTAAGAACATGCCATGGTTTGCTTGCTTTCAGGTGTTAATGCCGGTCACTACACAGCATTTACAAAAAACCCTTTGACTAACCAGTGGTGTTACTTTAATGATGAGATGACTACAAAACAAGAACCAACTTCAGAGGATGCAGCCAGTGTCTATGTCTTGTTTTACCAAAAGAAAGGTGAGACAGAATTAAACTAACATGATGCGAGCAGTATTGCCTGGCATGCTATACAGACCTGTAATTGATTTCTCATTGGCAACAATACTAAAAATTGCCCTAATCTTAAACAATCTCAGAGCAAACCTATGATTACCGATGAACTTTTATATTCAAAGCTCAATGAATGAATCTCTTTGGCAAAATAAAAAATGGCAAGATTCAAATCAAAGAGCATAATCACATTGATGTCAGATCACAGAAAACTGCAAATTATTCTGAACACGCACCCCAAATTAGAATTAACGGCCGGTGGTCATCATGCAGCATCTTTGAATTTTGTGAAGTTGACTATGCATTTGTTGCATGGGACCCTCATCCACCACCCTTTAATTATTTCTGACCTGTATATTCCACTTACCGTAATCCCATTGGGAAAAAAAACTTGCTGATCCTGGAGGTAATGAGAAACTGGAATTTGATGAGTGGTCATTTTTATGCAACTAAAAATGGATTGTTTTCATTCTATATCACAGGCATCCAGCATGACTTTTATTCAGCTCTTAGATCAATAGTAAAACAAGAATTCCAGACTGAGAACTCAGATAGTGCGACTGCCGAGACCCGTGAGGGATGCGATTTAAACCATGATGAAATTGACCTGTTGTTACAACAGCTGCAGTCTCCCATTGGTGCCGATACCTCATGTGCTGCGGTGATACCTGGCTGCAGCAAGCAATCCTCCACTGGAGCCACTTCATGTGCAACTGTCACAGGGCTTGACATTAAATTTTAAACTCACTTACTATAATCTATTAAGGCGAGTTGACATTCAGTTGTCTGAATGGCAATTTTACTCGTCAGAGGCTATAAGACTATTCTTACTCTGTCAAGCCTTGCTGTTGCTCATGGGAATTAAGATTTCTATTCTTAGCTATTTATATTCGCTCTAGATTCTGTCCGGAATAAAGATTTTCTAGAGCCCTTCCAACCTGACCTTACAGTTTTGATTGAACAGTGAAATGCTCATTTGAATTGATGTAGTGATCTACGTGTACTGTATTTTCCCTATTAGAAGCACTAAATAGTAGTGTCAGTCAGTTGCTCTGTATCTGTTGTGACATACGACATTAATCTCTACAAAATATTGCTTCAAATAGAGAAAATATGGTGTTAAGTATTAGGGTGTAAAACTAAAAATTGCCAAAAATGTCTCTTTCTTTGTATTTACAATGAAATTCTTGTGTATACCATAAATCCTGTTTTTGAAGGTCAAGTCACTAATCTACATGTTCCAAATTATTATTTTCTATATGTTAACCAAAGATTTTTTTTTGGCTTTTGTACAGCTTGATCTTTTTTCATGGGAAGAAATTTTTCATTTGTCTGCTTACATCCAAGAATCCAGATTAATGGGTAAACCAGAATTGTAATTACTAATTACCGCCTATGACATGGTGGGAGTGTGTACAAATCCTCAGCTATCGCTTGGTTGGTGTGGCTTGTTAGTTGTTGTATATATCTGGTAGTGTCACTTACACGTGGGCTTCAAATACAAACACAACGTTTAGCACCATCAATGTGGTGAAACCTCATTGACAGTGCTGAATGTTGCATTGCGTGGAACGTAAACTTCAATTGACCTCACTGTGATGACGCATGAGTTGTGGAATACGGAAAAAGAGCCTGAAGCATGCACACTGCGTACACAATGTGCTAATAACTTTTAACGAGGTAACTTAGACATATCTCATAAATATTATTTGAAAGTGAAATTATTAATAGAAAAGATTTAGTATCAAACACTGGAATCACGTATATTCCCCACTCTGTCTATTGTGGTAATTTGAAGATTATAAACGCTTTCTATCATTCTAAACTGATCACCAAATTTAACAACTGTTTCTGTGATTTACACATGAGCTACGGCAAGCCGCAATAGGTCGTGATTGTATACAGCGCCACCAGTGGCTGTTTCCGGCTCCATGTGTCAAGAATATTTTTCTATTAGTGTATTGTGATGATGAATCACCTCAGTAAGAAATGAATACATGTTGTCGGTTGCAATCGACATTGATTGTATCTGAATCTGAAATATATGGTTCAAAACGCACGTTTTTTTTTATAGCATCTTCAGTTCTGTACCAATCATGATGAGTTAGTTGTACAAAATTTTCCTAAAATATGTTTTTTTGTTTACACAAACCCAAACATAATGAGAACTTGTCTAATACATTTCATCCAAAATGAGCAGTGTATCAAATGCTGTACCTAATATTACACAAAAGGTTGAAAATATCATCTTCATTCACATGTTATTGTTGCTGGTTTATTTAATTATATTGTGCAGCATGACTTGTTTTGTGAACACTGAGTTAAACCCTGCAACTTTGCTGACTTGGTAGGTGAAAATCAATGTTGTTTGCAGCGACAACATAGTTTATTTTTGTTGATATTTAGTTAGAAATCTCCTCAGTTATTTCACGACTGGCAAATATGCATCAAAGCAATGGCCATGCTAATAATGGTCTTGCATTCATGTAAGCTACAACCTTTGTAAGGAAATTGCTGGAAAGGTGTGCTTAACAGATTCAGCACTCTTACAAAAAACACTTCATTTCCTATTCCTTTTAGGAGCATTTTTTCGGAAACTCAGATTCTGTACACAGCACGACTACTTCACTTAGTTTCCAAAAAAAATTTACAGATTGCGAAGCTCTTAAGAAATACATTTAAAACTTGCAAGGAGATTGTTTATTAATTTGCATTAATTTATTTACATTTATCGATGACTTAAATCAGTATATAGGTACAAGTACAAGGTCTGTGTAAACTATGTAGTAGTTTCGGTATTGTATTGGTACGACATAGGGAGAAATACACCCCATACATATTCAAAAGAATACCTCACAACGCATTCATAATGTT